CAGGACAAATGCAAGAATTTCAAATAATTACAATTTATACCACAAGAGAAAAGAGATGCAGGTTCACTAGTAATTCCATTTGATTCAGCAACGTATCTTTCTCTTCAGTAATGTTCAAGAGTCCCAGTGTTTGGCAGCAAGCTGGCCATAATCTTACAATCCTCCATAGATACAAGAGTACATTAAATCTAGAGAACTGAAAAATTTCAAGTATTGCACGATTGTTCAAAAAAATATAATGATGAGCTCAGCAACCAGGTTAACCTCCATGCTGGGAAATTTTTTCGAGATAATTTGGAATAAAACACATGGACAAGTGTGGAATAGTTAAGGAATAGCTGCAAAGTTGTCTTAAAGGCAAATCATGTTTACCTAATCTGATGGAGATTTTAGATGAGGTAACAGATTGAAGAGAGTCATGGGATTGATGTGTTACATATAGACTTCCAAAAGAGTTGTGACTAATGCCATTACAGGGGAAACAATGGCCTAGTAGTATTATGGCTGAGCTATTTATTTAGAAACACAGGTAACGTTCTGGGGGCACACATTTGGATCCAGCTACAGCAAATGTTACAATTTGAATTCAATAAAAATCTGGAATTAAAAGTCCAACGACCCTGAAACCATTGTTGATTGTCAGAAAGATCCCTCTGGTTCACCAATTTCCTTTAGGGAAGGAAACTGCCATCCTTACCTGGTCTGGCCTGCATGTGCATGTCACTGCAAAGTAGTTGACTCTTAACTGCCCTCTGGGCAATTAGGAATGCGTAATAAATACTGACTTATTCAGTTATGTCTTCATCCCATGGATTAATATAAAAAAAGCTTGCTGAAAAACAGCTCACAGGACAAAAAGGACAGTGGCACCATGGATGCAAAGTTGACTGAGTGACCAGATGTTCTTTTTAGACTAGGGTGGGTACGTGGAGTGGGCATTTCCACTGGTCAGCACTAGGTCATTGCTTCTCTAGATGCAAACTTCGGTGTAAAAGGCATAATTTTGAAATTGTATGTGATATCAAGTGATGTGCAAGATAATTAGTTTGTTTGCACATTGGAATGCACATTGGTTATCTATTTTAATAATTTTGAGTGTCAAGACACAAACCTTTGAGGTACTGTAGCCTATTGGGAGGATAGTGATGAACTTCACGAGGCCATAGTGGAATGGGTAGATCTGAAAGGCAGATAAAATCTAATACAGAGAATTATGAAATGACACATTTGATAGGACAAATGGCACTAGCCAATATCAAATAAAAGGTACAATTCTAATGGGTGTGAAGGAGCAAATTATTCAAGGTAATGGGGTAAATGAGAAAGATCAAAATGCATACAGAACCCTAGGCTTTATAAATGAAAACATTGCATGCAAAATAACCCTAACTTTTGGCAGGATATAATATGGGAACATGTGAAATTGTTCATTTTGGCAACAAGAATTAAAAAGAAACACATTAGTTAAATGGTGGGAGATTGCTGAGCTCTGAAGTGCAAAGAGATCTGTGTTTCCTTGTGCATGAATCACAAAAAGTTAGTACTCGGCTACAGCAAGTAAATAAGCAGGCTGTGAGAATGCTGTTGTTTATTGCTTGTGATACTGGATACAAAATTCAGGAGGTTAAGCTTTTGTTATACAGGGCATTGGGTACAGTACTCAGTATAGGTCTCCCTACTGAAGGAAGAATGTAATTGAATTGGAAACAGTTCACAAAAGCTTTACTAAACTAATACCTGGAATGGATAGGTTATTTTACGAATATTGTATTGCACAAGCTAGGCTTGTACCCACTGGAGATTAGTGGAATAAGGAGCAAAATAATTGAAAACTGAAAGGGGTCTTGGATGAGGAAAGGATGTTTCTTCTTGTGTAAGAATCTAGAACTGGGGTCACTGTTCAAAAATAAGGGGTCACCTATTTAAAATAGAGATGAGGATTTTTTTTCTCATAGTAAGTTGCGAATCTTTGGAACTCTCTCAAAAGGCAGGGGAAGAAGTGTTTGAATGATTTTGAGAAGGATGTAGATTATTGATAATTAAAGGGGTCATCAGGGATAGCAATGAATGTTACGTAATCACATCAGCCATGATTTTCTTGAATGGAGGAGCACATTTGATGTGCCAAGTCACCTCTTCCTGCTCCCAATTCATATATTTGTGTCAAGATTTATGATGAACCCTCATAAAATACAGGTTAAGCCTGAACTCGTACTCCCAATTCCTCCACCTCTACCACATTTGCTCCCAAGGTGGAGTGTTCCACTCACGGACACCTCAGATGTCCTTCTACTTCAAAGACTGCAACATCCCCCTCCATTCATCGCAAATACCCTCAACCGCATCTCTTGCATTTCCTGCAATTCTGCCCTCCAACCCCCTCCTCCCAACAAAAATATAGACAGAGTCCCCCTGGTCCAGTCCCGATGAAGTGTCTAGGCCCGAAATGTCAACTCTCCTGCTCCTCTGATGCTGCCTGACCTGCTGTGTTCCCCCATCTCTAGGCTGTATTGACTCTGACTCTAGCATCTACAGTTCTTGCTATCTCCATTGTATCCATTCCTGGGCATTATAGAACAAGGGAGATGGTTTCATAACATTGAAGGTACTGGACTAACAATGACGTGGCTCAGACTAATACTGTAAGGACATGGGTTCATATGCCACCATGGCAGCTGGTGGGCTTCAAATTCCATCAATACACCAGGAATTAAAAGCCAGCCTTAGTAATGATAGCTATGAATTTATTATTAATTGTTCTCAAAATCAATCTGGTTCACTAATGTTTTTGAGATAAGAAAATCTGCCTTCCTTACCTAGTCTGGCCTACATGTGACTCCAGCCTCACAGTAATGTGGTTGCATCTTAACTGCCCTCTGAAATGGCCTAGAGAATCGATCAATTTAACAGCCACAGGGCAACTTGCCAGTGACTCCTATATCCCCATGAAAGAATAAAGGGAAAAAAAACACTTGAAAAGGATGTGAAAACTTTACAAAGAGTGCAGAAAAGATTTCTGCAGAGATAAAGGAGTTAATTATGTAAATAGACTAATGAAAGTTGGTTGTTTTCCTCAGAAGATGTGAAGTGCTCAAAATCATAAGAGGTTTGGACAGAATTGATAGAGAGGATCAGTCTGCACTCACTCGAGGGTTAAGAATCAGAAAACACCAATTTATGGTGAAAGACAGAAGAAACAACAGTGGGTGATGTGAGGAAAATTCTTTTCACTCAGTGAGTGGTTAAGACTTGTAATTCTATAAGCATGTGGTGAAAACCTGTTCACTTGTATGTTTCAAAGGGGAATTAGGTAAGTATCCGAAGAGAAATAAATTTTGTGGTCATGGAGAAAAGGCAGGACAGTGAGACTAACTGAGATGCCGTTGCAGAGAGCTACCACATGTATGACAGGCTGAATGGTCTCCTCCTGTCGTGTAACGTCTTCTACGATTAACATTTTCCATATTACTGATTCACTGCAACAGCAGCTAAGAATAATGAATGCAAAAGTATTTAAAACATGGTACAGAATGCATCACAAATGGACATGTTTTCGCGCAATAGCTAACTTACTTTCCTTTAAGAATCATATAAGCACAGACCAGATCTCAGGATCCTCAATGCATTTTTAAATGGACAGGCAGGTCAAAACGGGAAGCACCTTAACCAGGGGTGGCATGGTGGCTCAGTGGTTAGCGCTGCTACTTACAGCACCAGGGACCAGCATTCAATTCCACCCTCAGGTAACTGTCTGTGTGGCATTTGCACATTCTCCCCGTGTCTGTACGAGTTTTCTCCCCCAAGTCCAAAGCTCTGCAGGTTAGTTGGATTAGTCATGGGGACATGGTGATTGGGTGGGATGCTGTTTTGGGGGATTAGTGTGGATTTGATGGACCAAATGGCCTGTTTCCATACGGCAGGGATTTTATGATTCTGGAGCAAAGGATTTCATTTAAATAATTTGTCAATGTAAATGAGAACTGTGAATCTTCATAAATAATGTCATATTGTTTCTGGCAAAGCAAACTACAATTTTGAAGTCTGCAGATTAGACACACACAGTGCCAGGTCTCATTACTCATTATCTCAGCCTCCTCACTGTTGCAAGGGTCTGCACTACAATGAAACATTGGAAAATTTATCTTGTTGTACCAGTTATTGTGTGATGAAATGGTTAGATGCTGACTTGTCAACAGGTAAGTTTACAATCTCTCTGTTGTTTAAATTGTAGGATGATCATTTACAGAGCAGGAGTTATAAAGACCTGGGACCAAGTCAACTAGCTATTAAATATTGTATAACATTTTTAAATCTAAGTAAATAGTAGAGAAAATATCTACGCTACATGCCCATTCTTTCTGACTTTCTTGAATTGCTAAACCTTGGTTCCAAACTGAACGTCAGTATTTTTCTCATGGAAAGTATGTGATCAGTTTCTTGAACCAGGGCAACAAAGCACTGGTCAAAATAAGAGCTTTAGAAATAAATGTATGCAGCTCAGTTTGGATGTTTGGTTGAGATTAAGTGCTGAAAATGTGAATTGTCCAGTGTGTAGTTGAGAGTAATTCTAAAGATTCTCATGAAGACTTACAGGCACATCTGATTCTGTTACCTATGTTGAGTATCAATGTACGTGCTTTTTAAAATTGAGAAATTGTTTTCCATGATACTAAATGTTCAGACACAGAACTGTAATGAAACACACAGAATTTAAAGAAATTAGTGATATTTTGGTTTACGACTGATGTAAGCAACAGGAATCACTGTTGTGCAAAAGTATTCTTGTTGGCAAAAGGAAAGAAATATATGGTAAATTAACCAATTAAAGGAGACATTTCTAACAGGTTTTTAATTTTCTTTGAATTTTGAAACAAAATATTACCTCTGTTGTTGTTCTTTATTGTTACTCTAGGAATGCCAATCTTTTAAATTATATTATTTATTGCCAACTTTTTTGAAGTCCTTAACTTTTGTTTGTGTTGCTTTTTTGTTGTTTTCAGATCCTCCTCTGCCTTGCTCTTCTGCTTCATCAACCCCAGTGGAGCAGTACCTCTCCCATCCCCCCCCTCCCGAAGTCAATGAGAACCAGCGAGGGTTCCTCAGCAATAACATGACCCAGCCAAACCAAGACTCTGACTCTGATGAAGAGTTTGTTCCCAATTCTTTCTTGGTTAAAACTGGCTCTGGAAACCTGTATGTTCCCACAAGTGGTGAGTTAGTTGAATTTATACTGCTTCTTTGTTGTAGCAATCTCCCTTCTACTTTGATTTCTGATCAATCTGTATCATATTTATTAACAAAATTTACACCAAGTGCAGCATTAACCACAGATCAGTTTTGTATAATGTTAATTAATCAATTACTCACATTGTTATTTTACTATTAAGTAGTTGCGCCCAGTCTTTGAAAATTAGAGTGAATATATTACTTGCATTAGGTTTGTCCATTACTTAATTATAGTATTTGTGTATTTTTTAAACTTGCTTAATTCTAGTTGTCACTCATATTGTTACTTATTATCTGAATGCCTTTTGCTCCATCTGAAAACGATAAGGCCAGTAATATCAAACAATTACAGAATCAAAAGTTGCTGTTTTACTCAAAAATACATTCAGCCCACAATAGCTGCAGTCCATATGCAACATCTGACCAATCAATGTCTTGTGTCTAAAAGAAACTGAACTACAGTTTGAAAATGGAATGTAACTTCTGATGTATTTCAAAAATAACAATTTGCATTCACTTTGTACTTTCCATGTAAAAGGGGCTTTAGAGTTTCTTTTAGAATAAAGTTAAAGTGAGATGATTCAAACAGAAAGTAAGGAATTGAAGGGGATAATGAAACCACCTTTGAAGCTATGGGCCTTAGGGGGCTTTTGAAGGGCAAAGAACTGAATTATTGAAGTGCAAAAGTGGGGCAAGCAGAAGAGTTTTAAAAAATCCCCTGAAAAGGATAGGATAAAACTGTCAAGATTTTAAGTTGAGGATATGAAAACGGCTTACTGAATGCAGAAATGTACAGTTGCTGAATAAATTTGATGGGTATGTTAGACCTGTGAAGGAGAGGAGTTGGAATAGTTGACAATGGTTGGAAATGGGATGCTGTTGAGAAAAATTCAATAATACTTCAAGATGATAAAAAAATTTGAATAAATTATGCAGCAGTGAAAGAATAATTTTCCACAGATGAAAGAAGGTAGTCGGTGACATTGTGAACCTAAGACCTTTGTTTTTAAAACCACAGCACAGTTGAACTGAACACCAAACCTGCACTCCATGGAGTTCAGCATGAATGACCAGTGAGAAAGGTTATGGTGTGTTGATGCTGACGAGAATGAAACAGGTGGCTAGTGTTAAGCTGTAGGATAGATTAGAACTTGAAGTTGAACAGACTTTGCATAGCATGGTAACAGCCTTGCTCGACAAATCCAGCCTGGATTACTGCTGTCCAGGTTCCCCAGCACCCCTCTACCTCTTGCAAGATTCCACTAATAGGGTTGAGTGAATATTTTTTAACGATGGGAGATAAATATTGGCCAAGTCAGTGAACAAAAACTGCTTTTGCTTTGTGATTTCATAGCAATTCAGCTCTCCATCTGTACTGCACTGAAATGTCAGCACAGAGCTTCTGGAGTGGGTGCATTTGCAGTAAATAATCGACATTCATTGTGCATAGTACCATTTTAAATTATATTATTCCTCAAGAATGACTGATAGCAATGGCCACGATGGAAAGGAAAAGACAATGTAATAGATCTCATGCAAAATGGTCCCAGTATTTCTGCCTGCGCAGGGTGATTCCAACTCCTCATTGCTCTCACAGTGTTAATAAGTGCTGACAGGATCAAATTTGATAAGGTAGCTCTCCTCATCACCTTAACACTCACACACAAAGCATAGCCCTTTTGTTAAATCACTGGGAAACAACTGACATCCATCAAACCATTGATCACACAAGGCAAAATTTTCAGTAGAGGAGGAAAAAACTTTTATTAGCAAAGATAGGAAGAAATTTGGCAACAAAATGGAACGGATTGCTTTGATATTTGTATTTAAATGTGAATATTTGCACTTTACACCTGAGGACTCTTTTGTTCTTTCATGGGTAACATTGGCAAGATCTGCCTTTATTGCTCATCCATAATTGCCCCTTATGCAAGGTGGCTTGCTCGGCCAATTCTGAGTCATTTAAGAGTCAGTCTGTGTGCATGGAATCATACTCGGGTAAGGATGACAGGTTTCCTTCCCTAAAGGACACTAGTGAGCTAAATGGGTTTTTATGGCAGTTGGCAATGGTTCCCATAGTCGCCATTATTGACATGATCTTTTAATTCCAGATTTATGATTTGAATTTAAGTTGCACAAGCTGCATTGGTGGTGTTTAAATCCACATTGTCAGAGCATGAGCCTGGGCCTCTGGATTACTCATCCAGTGATATTACAATCATGCCACAACCTCAGGTTCTTCTCTGATATATTGTTTAAAAATAAATGTTTGTCTAAAGAAGGAGTTATTTAGAATGGAGAGTCACCACATTAACCTTTTGCACCCTGACGCGTATGCCCTCCAACAATTCCTTGCACTTTGATCCTACCCCACACACCCTTAAACCCTAACATATTCAAGATTCCACAATTTCCGACCTCCCATAGCCTTGTATCCTTCCTCAACTTGCCTAACCCACACTCCATCTGTCATGCACCATTGCATGTTTAGACCCTTGACCATCCTCCACCTCCTTCCACCCCCCCCACCCCACCCAGAACCCTGCCCCTAGAAACTTGATAATATCACATTCTCAACCTCCTCATGTCTGTGTTCCTCTTGTATCATCACCAAGATGTGTTGAGGTTGGTTGGCTCGCCGAGCTGGTTTGTTGTTCCGCAGACATTTCGTTACCGTGCTTGGTAACATCCTCAGTGCAGCCTCTGATGAAGCGTCGGTGTGTTTTCCCGCCTAGCTTTTAAACTCTGGGGTCCATTGCGATGGATTGCCTCACTTCCGGGTTTCCTCCGTAGTGGAATATATATGGGGTCGAGTTCAATGTATTTATTAATAGCCTGCTTCGTGGAGTGCCATGCTTCCAGGAATTCTCGTGCTTGTCTCTGCCTAGCCTGTCCCAGGATCTTGATGTCGTCCCAATCGAAGTCGTGGTTCTCCTTGTCCATGTGGATTGAGATGAGTGAGCATTGGTCGTGTCTCCTTGTAGCCAGTTGGTGTTCATGTACTCTTGTTGTTAGTTTCCTTCCTGGACCAATGTCATCTACAAGATCCCCTGCAGAGACTGCGAGAAACACTACATCGGACAAACAGGATCAAAATCATCGGACAAAAATCATCATCGCACCTCTCATCTGTCCCCTGCGCTTGTTCCTTTGCCCAAGCCCTTGCCTCCATAGTCCCTCGGCCCACCACCCAGTCCACTGTATTCTTGAAAACACCACACACTTTTTCTTCCCCACACTTTTGTTACCCCTTGTCCACCTTGCATTCTTGCTTCAGTCTCTCAGCTCCCTCAAATTGCTATACCTTTGTTCGCTGCCCTAACCCCACAAATCCTCATCGCTGACACATGCCTCCTCAAATTCTCACACACCCACCCTTTCACCACTCTCACACTTTCTTCATGCCTTTACATCCTTGATTTACCCCATGCCTGGGCTCACACTCTCACATCGAGTTCTCCATGCACCGTTAGTCTCCCTGTGTTTATCCCGGCAACATCACCAGCACTTTAAATTCTGTCACTGCAGGTGTTAGAGCCATTCAAATGTCCTTGATGCAGTCAGCAGTAATTTCAATCTCACTCTCAAATCAGAGGTGTTCGTATTGTTTCTCCAATAGATTTTATTGATGTTGGCTCAATCGTTTTAGAATTCCTTTCTCTGTAGGATAATAGAAATGTAACTGTTGATATTGATTAACTCATTATGAGTTATGACCTTTCAAATAAACTACTTGAAGAGAAATATTTTGAACAATTAGTACCCCACTGTTAAATAAATGTGAACAATTTAATTGAATGCAGAGCAAAACATCTATAGAAAATCTTAAACCCATTACTGGAGAGGGTGTTCAATTGATTTTACTTTTGAAAATCTAACTGTTTTGTTATGTTTTGGAATGTCTGGGCGGCACATTGACTAGACACTGGTCGAGTGATAATGTGGCTTCATGGTTCATTTTATTGATTTTGTGATGTGTTCGTGTTTCCTTTTTACCTTATAATATAATTTACTATGTTAGCAAATTATTTTTTTCTAGTTTATTGAACTGTGTCAAGCCCAAATCAATTTTGAAGTTTGATGTTTAAAGGAGTAATTTCCATGAGAGGCACTTTTTTTTTAAGAACTGCATCTGAACAAAACATCATTAAAAGCAATTTCCTGTTCATCTGACTATTGTTGATATATGAGAAGGGCTCATGCTAATCTCATTAACATCATATGAGGTTGGACCAGACTTGAACCCAGATAGTGTGTGCAAGGATATAAATCATAACTTAAAGTCACTCTTTACTTATATTATCCTTGGGGAATTTTGCCTTGACACCGTCATCAAAAACTGCACTTAAAGGCTTTCCTCAAATAAATGCACTAACGGAATGGAAGAACAGAAGATGTTAAAATTGCAGGGCCACCATTTTCATTTAAAAGTAATTTGCAAAACAGTTGCATTCTGTTTGGAAGCATGGCATAATGCTTTGAATTGGAGCATCTCTACCATTTTAACATTTTATTGTAGGGGAACAAAACCAAATACAAGATTCTTCCCAGACAAGGCAAAAAAAAAGTTTGACCAGCATCTTTTTCTTGTGGATACAGTTTTTGTTTAAAAAAATGGACCAATCAGAATGTTAGAAATTAAATTCTTTTCACTTTTGATAAGGAAATTCAGCACATTTGAAATGGGGGGATAGAAACGCACAGACGGGGTTGTTTAAACTCCACTGACAACAGTATAGCTAATATTTATGGACCACCTTTAGCATATCTTGAGATATTGGGTCAGACTTTTTCCTTCTGACGTGGGGAAGGATAAATGGAAACCGACGAGTCTTGCATGAGCCATTTCCACTGTTGGCTGTTGATCTGGCACGGGAAACACGATGAGTCACAAGATGTCATGCCAGCCAACTGACACCAGGAGAGTCATCGCACATACAATGGATTCAGATAAATTGACAATGGCAGTAAGTTGGGCGGAGTT